TATTCTTCTGGATTTATACCTCAATTTCTTTAATACACATTGGGTTTAAATGTGTGTTTTGAATTGTCATCTTGAGGACCTAATTGTTTTTTTTATAATTAATCAGAGCCATCATGGAAAATCCATTTTATGTATAGAGCACTTTGTGCCATTGCGCCATGTTGATAAAATGCCACCTCTGTCTACTCCCTCCCACCGGGGTCATCAGCAAAGTGCTGTCTTTTTAAACCAGTTTCATTGCCACCTGGCAGAAATACTGAAACTGTGAAGTGTTATCAGAAGAATTATTGATGCAGTTTTTCATTTTAAAACCTCAAAAATAAATTCCTTCAGTTGATATCCCCTCACAGAAGATTGCAATATAGATCTTGGGCAGAGAAAGAAAGTCTACAAAAGTAAAAGTGATGGATGCAATTCGTTTTACTGGCCCAACTTCAGGTGACAAAGGAAAGGATGTACATGTTCAGACACTTGTTACTCTTTCAGTTTTTTGCATTGTTAAATGCTTCAACATTTTTAGGTATGGTTTTTTTTTTAAACTTTAAAACTAATAAGATAATTCCAGTTCCAGCAAGATCAGTTTGGCTTACGTTCTGGTGACAAGAAGCTATTGGATACCTTATAATTATAATGCATTTACAACAACTTGGAATCAAAGTATGATATAAATAAACATCACATGAAAAGATATTTCATAGGGTGAAGAACACAGATGCTGATAGCATTTTGTTATTGGCTAAAAATTTAATAAATTATGATTTTCCGCACTTTTTAGATTGGCATCAGTGGTAAATGGTATGTTGTGATACTGCAGAATTTCTTTGATCTTTAAGAGTTCTATTGAAATGCTGTTTATGAATAACAATTATGAATAACAATTATTATCAGTTATTATGAATAACAATTCTCAACTGGATTTTCTGCCACAATTTGCTAATAAGCTTTTCTAACCCTTTGCCTCTGCCCTTTCTCCAATCATCACCTATGAGTTCTATTGAAATGCTGTTTATGAATAACAATTATGAATAACAATTATTATCAGTTATTAAGAATAACAATTCTCAACTGGATTTTCTGCCACAATTTGCTAATAAGCTTTTCTAACCCTTTGCCTCTGCCCTTTCTCCAATCATCACCTATGTGATTCTTTCCAAGACATAAATCTGATTATATCTTTCTTTCAAAAACATCTTTAAACAGATTGTCATAGCTTTCAGGACCAAATTTTCAACTCCTTTAGCGTAAATTATCTGGCCCTATCTATATTACTTCTGTATCCCAGATTCCTTGTACTCTAAAAAACTATTATACTCCCCTAACAAATTCAATTCCTCAGGTCTCTGCCTTGTGTGCTTTAAGTGCTGCTTCTCTCTGCCCCGTGTGAACTTTCTCTTCCTCATCCAGTGGACTCTTAACTTGTACTTCTAAATGCAGCTCAAGTGTAGCCATCTCCTGGTATCTTTATTCTTATTTCCTCACTAAATGGTCAAATTTGGTTTCGTTCCATTTTCTTCCCCAATGCCCTTAGCATTTTTCTATTATTACACAAATCAGATTTTGCTGTATCTGTTTATTTATTTATATATTTACTTAGAAATCTCTGCCATAGGGTGAGAACAATTTTTTTATTTGGCTTCCCATCTTCTGTGCCAAGAAGAATGTCTCAAAATTTGTAGTCAGTCAATACATTTTGAATGAATGAATGGATAAATCATATCTTTTCAGAAAAGTGGGTGCATACATGTGGTCATTTGCCAGTCCTTATTTCAGGGACTGTATTTTAGCAGCTGTGTTAAACTTGCAGAATCTCAATTACAAAAGCATTTAGCAAAGTCACTCATCTGCAAAAAATTTTCAGAAATTTGAAAATCAAATTCAAGAAAGTCTCTAGTTATATCTAAAGTACAGATGTTAATTTTCCTGAAGTAGATAGAAATATAGAGAATTATATGCTTAAAACTATGAAATATGTTTTCATCGCTTTCATTTGATGTTTCATTTGATTATTTCAATCCTGTATGTTCTCAGTTATTACATTTAAAAAATTGTGTAAAGAAGGACTGTACAGGGCATCTGGCACTTAAGGTTTACTATCCAGTTATGTGAGCTTGTTTAAATCCTTTCTGGCCCAAAGCAGTACAAACAAACTGATAAGCTGAATGTGTGACTTTTACTAAAGGCTGTTGAATAACTGGTTTTGACTGAATTCAGTTTTTATTTTTTGATAATGAGATGCAAGTTAAATGACTTGATACTTCTCACTTAGCTAGTGTTCATATGAGTACTATTATTTTCTTTCATAAGATTATGAAGAGGTAAATAACTATACACTGATTCTTAAATCTTTTATAGCATAATTTTTCCAGAATATTACAAATGATTGAGATCAACCTTAAGTCTTTTTTGGTACAAATACCTGGTAGTTTCACATCTCTTCTGAAAAAGTGTTCACTGTAGGGTTTTAAGAGATTTTCCTAAAGTAATTTTGTAAAACTGATTTAAACTATCATTTCTATTAGAAAACATGGAACAAAAATCAGTATATATATCTGCTGATTCAGTAGAATTGTGTAGAAGTAACAAGAAGATTGCAAGAAGCAAGTAATCTGAAAATGCAAGGCAACATAAACCACACTCTGTTCAAATAGGTCCATAAATCTGGGTTCTCCATACAGTTAGAATGAGTCTTCTGTTATCTATAGTTGTAGAAGAAAATTTCACTTAGTAGATTTATTCCTTCTCTTTCTGGGTTACGTGTTAGATGCATTGAATTAGGAGGCAGTATATTAGAACACCAAAACATAAGTCAAGACAAATCTCAGTGAATTTTTTGAAAAAATGTTACAGCCTTTTCTATGCTGGCGTCCTTGTAAGGATGAGTATTGGTTGTACGCTGGTGTCTACCCTACGTTTACTGCATTCCTGGAACTGTACTTACATATTCCTGAAGGATTGAAAGAATTCTGGAGGCGTTTACAAGACATCACTTATCTTCAGAGTTCTTTAGATTTCAAACTTTAGGATTGTTGCCATGTATACCAGGTTACAAAAATTAGAGTTGGTTTTGAAGTGTTCTCTTGGACTCAGTTTTCTAGCATAAGCAACTAATTAAAGTGAAAACAGATGATTAGAAAAGTCATGGAATAAACATGGTGTTTTCTTTTCAACAGCAGTGGATTCTGGAATGAAGAAGATATTGTGAAAGCTTGCAGTTATACTGCATACTGTCTTTCACTGTCTTCTCTATCATTATGCCCCAACTGAAATCTGAACATTGTCAGGATTTTTACTTCCATCCTTTTATGTTCTATTGGAGTTACTCATTGTCTTCACCTACACCATTTTATTAATCTCCAAGCCAGACTCCCTACTTTATTGACTAAACACCTTTTTCCTTCTAGACCTTTATAATCCATTCATTAGAGGATTGAAGCTTCAAAAATTATGCTTTATATCTGTCACTCCTCAGTTTAGAAAGAATCAATATGAAATCCTCAGTTTGCCCTGTCAAGCCTTCCTTTGTAGCCAATTGTCTTTATGTAACTTGGACCCTCCATTTCTGCCAGAGTACACACTGTATGCTGGATGTCTTATTCCTTCTTGTACTTTGCTCAGTAAGCTGCTTGCTTGGAATGTGCTCCTTTTTCCCGTTATCTAAATGCTGCCCTTTCTTCAAAGCTCTCACAATGCCCATTTCCTACACAAAGCCTTTCACAGCTACCACAATACAAAGGGATCTCTATCTCCTGAAGCCCTATCTCATGTATTATATGTAGTATAACTTAAGAGCTCCTTCGCTGTGCTCTGAGTGCACCTCTATCAGTTCTTACCATGGTTTTAGATAATTGTTGGTTTACTTTTGTTTTTGCTGTTTTCATTGTCATGACTTTTTAAATTTATTTTTATTATTATTATTTTTATTTATTTTTGTTTTTTTCGTGACCGGTCTGAGTGCACCTCTATCAGTTCTTACCATGGTTTTAGATAATTGTTGGTTTACTTTTGTTTCTGCTGTTTTCATTGTCATGACTTTTTTTATTTATTTTTATTATTATTATTTTTATTTTTTTTTGTCTTTTTCGTGACCGGGAAGGGGATTGCAACCCTTGGTGTGGTGTCGCCCACACTGCGCTCAGCCAGTGAGCGCACCAGCCATTCCTATATAGGATCCGAACCTGTGGCGGGAGCTTTGCTGCGCTCCCAGCGCTGCACTCTCCCGAATGCGCCACGGGCTCGGCCCGACATTTTTTATTTTTTATTAGACTATGAGCTCCTTGATGGCTACAGGACAGAAGCTGTCCATTTCTGTATCTTTAGTGCCCAGTAGGGGAATACAGTAATTATCTGACTAATGCTTATCTATCTAAATGAAATGAGTTAAATTGAATCAACCATTTAAATACATTTATGTATATTGTTAGCTACCTTTGTATATATAATTCCCATGTTTTCAATTCTTCAATCTCTTTAACCCTTTAACTCTTGAATTCTAAATATAAGCACATTAAGGATAGGGATCATATTTTATGCCTTCTTAGAGTCCTGTGCCTTGTACAATATCTTAAAAATATTGCAGGAGTGCTCAATGTTTGTCAATAGATTGATTTTAGAGGAAGGAGATGGTTGCATAATGGAATGATGCTCTTCTATCTTTATTTACTCAAAAAAGCAGAACCAAATTGGGAAACCACGTTTTCCTTTAAAAATGTTATAATCATTAAAAAAAAAAAATCTATTTTATTCTTCAGGTATATAGGCCACGGGATTACAGTACACAACATGTAGAACATGTCTACTACTAACTTTTCTTTTTTCCCCACATTTGATGGAGTGTTCTTTCCCCTTCCTGTTTGTGTTTTGAGACATGCATAAAAATAAATAAAAAACTGTAGGCTTCTCTCTGGCACCGAGCATTTCCCCTTGTACCAGATTTTCTCTTTGATATCTTTGTCTTTGTCAGTGGTTGATATTTACACACTTTCTTTCCTTTTAAATTATAGCTCCTCCACAGTTTGTGGTTAGGCCAAGAGATCAGATTGTTGCTCAAGGTCGAACAGTGACATTTCCCTGTGAAACAAAAGGAAACCCACAGCCAGCTGTTTTTTGGCAGAAGGAAGGCAGCCAGGTGAGTGTGAGGCTTGACTGCTTTTCTGAAATCTCTGAACTTCCCCTGTCTGGTTCTAATCAAAGATTGTCTTGCCCCTCTTGTGATCAACTTTAAATTTATTTCATTTCTAAAAAAGAGACCAGTGAATTTCAAAATAAGTGGGAGTCAAGTGTTCTTGTACAGCATTCTTTATTTGCTAGTGCTATTATTTTTAACTGTGTATCTTACACAAAATAAATACAAAGCAGTGTAAAAAAATTATCTTAAAATGTCCAACCAAAACCCTATTTAAAAATTTCTGAAGGAATACATAATCTTGCTTTCTTGCATTGAATTGCATAATTTGATTAAGTGACTTAGTACAAATAAAGGGATTAGAACAGTTCCTGGCACATGGAAAACAGTCAAAAATATTTCTGTTATTAATTGACCTAGACCCCAATTTAAATCTCTTCTCTTAGATAGACAGTATAAATGACTCTTTTTTTAATCATTAATTTAAGCATGCTTTCATTTAAAAGTAGAAGGAATCTTTTCTTTCATCATCCCTTCTGGATTCCTTCACAGTGTGGGTAGACAGGAAATAATACTTTATATAACAGAAGGAAAAAGCACCTGCCTTGTCTTTGCTATATCCTGGTTTGTCCTCTCCAGGCACCTCTCTGGGCAACATGGCCTCTCAGAGTCTCTGCAAAAAGTCAACTGGATGCATAATTTTTCTCCTTTAGAACTTGGTTTAAACTTAGACAACCGTTTAGTGCCTAGGTTCTGAGGCAATGAGTGGAATTTCCAGCCTAAACTAGATTCAGAAATTGTATTCTCTGCCTAAGAATTTATCTGTGCATTCCTGAGAGACCTAGGGACATTTTTGTTCTAGATTCTCCAGAACCATCCCAAACAAGACACAGAGTTCCCAGGAAAAGTTCTACTGGTGCCTTCCTCAACACTTTCTTGTTTTAGTCCAATTTCTAGAAGAATTTCCTTGGAAATAATGGAAATCATTATTAAAAATCTCAGGAAATCTAAAAACTTTGCCAGAGATGGGAAATGTATTAAGCTACATTAAGAGAGCCTGTTGATTAGAACTCGCATATATCTATCGGGTTACTGAGGCATTAGGAAGTTCTGCCCAGCCATCATTTCTAATTGTTGTGAGTTCTTATACATTCATGTACCACCCCCAAGCTAGCAGTTTTAACAATTTGGTCTAGATAAACAAATGGACTTCCTTCCTTTCTGGAACTCTCCCTGTTGGAATCATTTCCCCTGTGACTGGTGGGATGGGAAATTAGTGATGGGGAGACGAGGGAAGGTGATGGCCACTGCCTTCTTCCACATCAGAATTGTTCCAGGCTTTAACTCCCAAATCTTTTTTATGATTTAGTAACTATAAAATAGATTTCTACTCATGGAATTTCTTGACTCATCACTTAAAAAATCCTTTCTCAAGTGAGCATAAAGCAACACAATAGAGTGAAACACGTATGTGCATACGCACATTCACACTGAAAAAGGAGAGAATTGAAAAGCCAGTTTCTTCCTTATGAAATGCAGTCTTTGTAGTGCTGTTTAAGTTTACTGAAGCTCATTTTCTTAATCTAAGATAAAGGGGTAATACATTCTATTTCACATGCGTTATGAAGATTACATGAATAAGTTAGTTTGTATGTAAAAGTGCTTTACATATTTTGAAGGTCAAATGCAATGTTATTATGTCACTGATAGAAAATACAATGACGTAAAGCAATTTGATTACTGTGCATTTGTATTTTAAATCCAGTATAAGTCCATGATGATGTATCTTATTATAGAGACTGCATCATGAAAATTACATCTCCTAAAATAGATCCAAGTTGGATATAAGATATTACATGAAATGTGTATTGGTCCTGTAGTCCAGTAAACATATAGTATTTAAATGTGCTACATTGTTCTTTTTGATAATTTTGAAAAAAAAATGGTCAAAAGCATTTAAGCATTTTTTTTTCTGTTATTTGACAAAGCGGCATGTAATTCTAGATATAATACTTCTAAAGGTTACACAAAATTTCCAGTGAGGTACTTTGATTCAACTATAATCTTAGGTCTAGTTTTCTTCCCTTCACCTATCTCCCTCCTACCAGAAAGGGAGAGAGTGAGGGAGACAGACTATGAATGAGAACAAAAGAGAAACGCTCGAGCAAATTGTAAATTTTGAAATTATAAATTGGGATATTAGGAAAAATAAATTGGGCTTACTGTCCTCCGTATCCAATTTTTACAGTGATCTACGACTATCTATCGGTAGAAAGAGTTAAGAGCCTGGACTTAATGGTCCATACTCCTCAATATATGCTGATAATGCCAATTAGCACTAATAGGATATCTAGGAACGTCAAGACAAGAGCTCTGTAGAGTTCCTGGTTTTGCTTGTAATCCATTTTCTTTTGCCTATGTCATACAAACTGGGAATAAAGATGATGGGTCAAACCCAATCAAATGCTGTTTTCCATGTTAACGAATCATTTAGAAGGTAGACTGATATTACATTGTAGAGGAAGAGATCCCATAGAGAATTAAGCCCATCTGATGTATTAGTGCTATGTAAATTAGTATTCTAATGGCTAATTGTAGGAAAGTGCACACTTTGAGTTATTGTATCATTTTCAAGTGACTTTAAAATTTAGACCCTTCTTTTAGATGGTTTATTTCAGTAATATATTTGGATTCCACAGGAGAATTAGCTTGTTTTCAAATTATATTTTATATATATATATATGAAAATGTCTAGCCTTATATAGTAATACAGGTTTTAGTAGAGAGCAATAAATAGTATTTTGAAATTATATTCCTGACTAGTAGCAAACATCACTCCTTTTAGAAGGAGTTTAATAACATGGTAATGTTTATGTAAAGTGGGCTTATAGTGTCACACTCGAATCTAATAAAGTGGACATCCATCATGTTGCAATAAAGAGAAGAGCTTCTAATTAAAGTAGGACATCATTTCCAGGATTAAAGTCATTTAGTGTAATTGAAAAGTGTTAATACCCTATTTTATCCTCTTCCATTGGTATTACTTCAAGGGTAAAAACATTTTAAGGTGAAAATGTGTCTTGTGCCTTTAATTGAATGTTATTACCTCCTGATTGCAACGTATTGCAACTGTTTAATTACAAACCTGGAAAATTAATTACTATATCGAGAAACAGATCCCAGAGGGTTATAATGTTCTTTTTTTGTAAGTAAATACAACATAAAAATTGATATGGCCTTATTTATAATCCAACTTGGAAGCATACCTCAATATGATTTATTATACCCAAATGTTTTTCTTAATTGAACAACAGTAAGGCAACATAGGTCATCCAAATTAATGTTACTACTCCCATACAAGAACTTTTAAAAATTAGTGATTAAGCTGTATATATTTAACATGAGATAAATAGTAAACTAACTTTTTTAAAAAGATAGTATGAAATTCCTTAAGGTAACATGCACGCTTTCAGAAACATTCTACATCCTCTTGTTATTTTCAGTGATTTGCTTAATCTTGCTTAGGTTGTAGCATTTGTTCATCACTCCTTTCAAAGCTGTTATGACCTGCAGAAATGATATAGCAGAATTAGATTCAGCTGTCTCTGTCAGTCTCAACACATATTTGAATACCTTTAGGACAAATTCAGCTGAGTCCATCAAGTATTCAAAAAGTGAACAGCAGCAATTACATTTTGTATTCTTTAGTACTGTGAGTTTATAAAGCACATACACAGTTAATGCTGAAGTCCAGATCCTCGCAGTGTTTTAGGAGTTAAATTAGATAAGCAATATTCTGTCCATTTTACAGATGAGAGAGCTTTGTTTCAAAGATATTAAGTAATCAGCAGAAAGAGAGAGAGTAAATGGTGAGATAAAGATCCAGATTTTTTTTTAAAGTACGAATGATTGTTCCTTCAACTAGAGCTTGCTGACTTAGAGCATGTTATTTCCCCATGATTCTGGAAAAGTTTACCAGTAAAACTCATTATGTAGCATTTAATCATGTCAGTACCATATATTTTTAAATGTACGTGTTTTCTTTTCCAACCATATTTCCATAATTGTAATAGTTGTTGGTGACATTATGTTGTAATTTTCTTTCTGAGTGGGAAAAGAATATTGATGAGATTTTGTTTGCTTCCGCAGAATCTACTTTTTCCAAACCAACCCCAGCAGCCTAACAGTAGATGCTCAGTATCACCAACAGGAGACCTCACCATTACCAACATTCAGCGTTCGGATGCGGGTTACTACATCTGCCAGGCCTTAACTGTGGCAGGAAGCATTTTAGCAAAAGCTCAACTGGAGGTTACTGATGGTGCGATACCATTATTAGATTTATCTTATGAAAATAATTATTTTTATTTAAGATACATATTAACCATGTGGAATTTTCCAATCAATGCTTAGAATTTTAGGTCAATACTTATCTTCTAAATTTGAATCTAGGTAAAGTAACATTTTTTAATCGTTTCTAATTCTCCCAGATTGAATACCATTTATTTTCCCAAAGAAGAACATTAAAGGCATTCTGTTATAATCTTTACAACACAGTGATGCATGACTTTAAATAAATGACATCATATTCACTGGGTTTAGAAATGTAATCTGCATATTTTTATTTAGTCTTATGCTGACATGATTGCTTCTAATGGATATTAATAATTTTATTTTACAGAAGGAGGAGTAGATACCACTTTTAATACGATCAGTAAAACAGAGATGAGTTTTTAGTTAGCTAATCAAATTATGACATTCTTATGTTATACATTCAAGAAGTTTTATTAATTAAATACCTTTTGAAGTACTGATGATTTCTAAAATTATTATTTTTATTTGTACATGTGTATTTTGAATCTTAACTGAGGAACCTACATTCATAGTGAAAGTTGGAAAGGGTGTAGGGCTCTGCATAATCTGATTTTTTCCCAGCATCTGATTTGTCACGATTGACAGCTAGGGAGTTTCAGATATTTCATAAACCTCTGAGCATGAATTTAGTTTCTGTTCTTTGATGTCTTAAATTAAAAATTCTTTTTTGCTCTTTTATATTTGCGAGGATTTTTATTTTTTATTTTTCCAAATGCTGGCTTCTGTGATATAACAACTTTGGTCTATGGCGTCACTCATTCTGTTCTTTCTCTGCTGGTGAAATTTGATGTGTTTTATACAATTCAAATTTACATGTAGATTAAAGGGTCATTTAAAATTAATAGAAAGGCAGTATTTTTAATATCTGTCCATGGGATGGCCTGATTCAGCACCACGTCAGTAGTGAGAATAAATACAACAGACAGACGTTGACTGTGTAGACACTGAGTCATTAAGGGCTGCACCTGCTGATGCTGCAGAGATTTACTGCCATGGAACTGAAAGGAGAAGTCAGGTTCAAGGGTAACAGTGATGAGAAATTCTTTACATGGGCAAGACCTTCGATCCTTTGTACCTACGTATTTCTTTAAAAGGATAAAAAATAATTATTAATCTTTTTAAAGTTCTCATGTGTTCTACTATCAGCAAAAATGTCCAGATACATATTCTTGGAAAATAAGATATTCTGGCCAAAGCCAAAATTTTATTCTATATTACTATAAAACACTTCAAGCATACTGCTTAAAATATCTACTTTAATCTAGCTTATAGTATTCTACTATTAGTATCTATTTGTAGTATTTTTACAGAAGACAGACCCTAAAATGTTTCTAAATGAAAAAAATATTATGGAAAAGGCAAAGCATATTTGTAGAAAATAGAATTGATTAATTAGAAGAGCAAGTTGATATGACTGTTATGGTTCATGAAATAGGTGGATATTCATAATTATGTCTGATGCAATGAAAAGGAAAACTTTGGTGAGCTTATGTTCATTGATGGTATCTCAAAGCAGTAGTTATGCTGTCTTCATTTCTGAGGTCAAAATTAAAAGAGTGATGACCAAGGGTAAATTTTCTGATGAATGAGAACTGAGATATCTCTGAAACTTTTGCTACAACTGGCTTAAATATTAATTCCTACATTGATTTTCACTTAAATAAGCAATCACAAAGTCGAGATACTTTTGCAGAAACATTGAATGGAAGTTACAGAGTTGTTGATTTTGACAGTAAAAAAAAAATCTAACTTCAAGACCTATATATATATTTATACAGATACACATATTTATTATAAATAACCGTCTCTAAATATTAAGTTGCCACATTGGCTGATGGCTTCATCTTCTATTCAGAGTTTTAATTTTTCAGATTGGTTAACGATTTAGTAATATGTGGTTCATCATTTTCATTTTGAACAAATTTTCTTGGTATGATTCAGGGCAATTTAGAGCCAATTGAAATTCCATTGTAGAATGAAAACATATGTCATGTTCAGAGAAACAAGTGATTATTCTATCTATAGCAACGTTTCTGTTGTTACATTTTTGCACTGAGACTCATTTCTTGGAAATTTTTTAATTCAAGCATTCATATAAGATGAGATTGCTAATGGTGATGAAAGTTGCTGTGTTGAGTAATAAATTTACTAGCTATAGATTGAGCTAAGATGATTTAATATAATTGAGCTTCAAAATATTCCTTTCAAAGACTTTCTCATTAATTCACTGGCACAGTTCTTCGTTTCTTTTCTTCTGCTCTTTTTCTCACACAAAATTAGAAAATTTTAATGAGAATTCTATGAGTACAGCCAATAGAATCTAAAAGGACCGGAGAGACAAAATGTATTTATACATTACATTGACAATAAATGTTGCACCATGATATTATAGGAATGGCTTATTGAGGATTTATAATGCATAGTTAGAGAAGACCATGAACCTGTTCACAGATCACTGGGAACCCTAAATGTTCATTTAACCTTTGGCCTTAGTGTCATGGAAACCTGTGGTCATCTTTCACCCATAACATTCTTGAACTGAAAATTCTTTCTGGACAGATTTTCAATTACTTTATTGATCAAATTCATTCAAAAGACAAAGAATTACTCAATTGGGCAGTTAAATTAAAAAAGAAAAAAAAACTAAATGACCTTTGGCTGCATCTAATGATTTCAAGGATATGACAATAAAATCAAGTTATAAGAAGTTACCTGAATTCAATATTGGTATTTAATTTGAAACAAATCAGTAACATCATTTAAAATTTAATAAATAGGTCCTACTCTGGTAATGCAGACTCATTTTCTCAATAAACTGAAAATTATTCAAAATGTTTTGGACATTGGCCTTCTATTTTTGACCCACAAAGAAAATAAATTCCATGAAATTTTCAGTTTGAATTTGTTTGCCCAATCATGGCCAGATGTGCCAGAATTGTTATAATATTGTGCTTCCACATTCTCCTAAGATTATCTTTTTTACTTCTAAAATGAAGAATTTGATCAAGAAAATCAGTGAAATAAATGGTTTTAATTTTTGTTTGTGAACACTAAACAATTTTTCATTGTTTATCTTGAGTTTTTGTAATTGATATAGTATGTTTAGGTTGATTGGAATTCACAGTATATTGGTATGTATAGGACCTATATCATAACTTCTAATTTAAATTAAAATTGATTGGCTTTCTCATGGTAAGCTTTGAAAGGCCTGTTTAATTTTAATGTTTTATTCCCCTAAACTGGGAACTCTAGTAATAAAGATCATAATGTAGATTGGGAAACAGTCATATAAACTGGTATTTATAAAAGCTGGTGGACAAAGGATATCAGAGCATTAAGCAAAATTACTTTTTTGATTGCGTATATTGTGATACATGGTGACCTTTCTGAGAAAAGACACTATTTCTCACCATAGTTACTTAGTGATAATTAGAATCCACCACTCTCTTTTTTCTTTCTGTGGAAGTCTTTGTATATATATGCTTATATATATATAATGTACATATTATCATATATACTATATATATAATGTACATATTATCATATATACTATATATATATGTATATATGTATATATACTAGCAAGCGTACTTTGTATAATTAACCAATGTCTATGCTGTCTATTTTAAAGTTTATAGAACTTTCTTTTAAGAAAGCCTTCCTTGGTCCTGGACACATCACTTAGGTTATGAAGTGACCTTCTAATGAGTTCTAGATGTAACCTTACCTCCAGTTAACTCCATAGTTCCATTAACCATTTAAATAATGCTATACATTCTGATGTGCTTCTTAAATCATTATTAAATACTTCCGAGGCACAGAAGATGCTGCTACAAAACAATATTTCATAAACAGAAAGAACACTGAATTAAAAGTTTTTGAAATTATGGAATATTTACCCAAAAGAGCACAGGAATTGATATATATGAAACACTGATTTTTGAATGAAAACTCTTTTTATCATCCCATAATGATAGTATAACTATACTGCTTTTCTTTGCTTAATTGTAAGCAATAATTAAATCAAAATCATCCATATGATATGATGGTAATTTGAAGATCTAGTGTCAAAATTTTGGAAATAAATTATGATTTAATACTTTAACATCAACAGAAATATTTCATCCTATATAAATACAGCATACAACTGATGCCATGTTGGGTGAATTTATATTTTATGCATATATTTATAATAAAAGCAGAAGTGAAAATTGACTCTACCCGCATTATGCTCCACAGGCTTTCTTAAATATGCATATGAGAAGAAAAATGAACATTTTATAATGACTACCATAACCTATCTGTATTTTAATTTTAATTTTAATATGACTAAGCCTCTCAACACAGTTAAGCTTTCCAAAAATGTCAGAATTTATCCTAACATCATTTTAATTATATGTAATGTGGCGTGAATTATAAACAATAGTATGGCTTTGGTCTATTATCAATAGATGTATGTATAGTGTGTACAGATGATAGATATATGATAAATATAGAATATGCAGAGTAAGTTACGAGTAATATGTATGGTTTTGGAGCTTTAACCTTACTTTCAATGTCAATATATCAAAACTACGGGATTTCACAGAAGTTAAAATATCCTGAAAATATCTTTATTCCACAGTTTTGACAGATAGACCTCCACCCATAATTCTACAAGGCCCAGCCAACCAAACGCTAGCAGTAGATGGTACAGCATTACTGAAATGTAAAGCCACCGGTGATCCTCTTCCTGTAATTAGCTGGTTAAAGGAGGGATTTACTTTTCTGGGTAGAGACCCACGAGCAACTATACAAGAGCAAGGATCACTTCAGATTAAGAATTTACGGGTAAGTAATCTTCAACTTGTATTTGAATCTTCATCTCAACGTAAGTACTTCTCTAGGGAAACACTGTATGGTAACTTAAAATCTTACATCACAGCATAATTGCTATACATTTTTTAAAAGGTCATGTTATTTACTATTCAAAAAATGATTAACTGAAATTAGAGGGAAGGCATTGTTCTTATGTTACTCATAGATTCATAACAGACCTAAAAACTTTTTACTCGTGCATCACACTCTGTATGTATGTAATCCATGGAACTGGAAATCTTAAACACACAAAATTAATGCTAGTAGGATATTTAAAATAATTTGAAAGGGACTAATACTTCTAATTTACTATCAATAACAGAGGAAGATTGTAGGGAAATGTAGATAAATTGGTTTGGCCCGACAGTTATGTGGAAAAAAATAAAGAGATGAGTACATAGGAGGCAGGTCTGGCTAATTGATGGTATTCTTAGATTTTAGGTTAAGTTTCTATGGAGTTTAGATTTCAACTCATGGACAAGAACAAGCCATTAGTGGTCTTTTAACTAAAGTTTACATGATAGAGAATGACCATTCCTGGCAACTTAACGAGTTGGACTTGCCTCAGGACGAACTCAAAATAAATATCTACTTCTGAATATCAGTTATCTATGCTATGTATCAATATTGGCAAAACCATAAAAGCTTAAAGGAACGCACATCTATTACATCAGAGTTTCTGTGAGTTGGGAGCCTGGGCATGACTTAGCTAGGTCTTCTGCTTCATGGTCTCACAAGGCTACAATCAAGTTTCATTTAGGGTTGTGGTCTCATTTCGAGATGATTGACTGAGGATGGATTTGCTTCCAAGCAACACGATTATTGGTAGCATTCAGTTCCTTGTGGCTACTGGACTAACAACTTTAACTTCTTCCTGGCTGTTGGCTAGAGGCTGCCTTTAATCCCTTGTCATGTGGATCTTCTGATATGACTAGTTGCTTTCTTTTTTTTTTTTTTTC